TTGTTTCCAGTAGGCGGTGTCTAAGCCTCTTGGATCCCTGTTTTATATAAAGTCTTAATAATGCCTTTTTATATGTGTATATAGATATTCAATCACACTCGCTACCCTTGTCTCAGTCCCTGTCAATGTTAGGGACAGTTTCAGTAGCATTTGTTCAGATTCCCCTGGGGCTCGGGGGTATTCAGTCTTGGAGGGTATGAGGGGAGGGGCCCTCTGGGTTGGGGTATGGGGGCTGCAACTCAGCCTCACATTTTGCAACCATGGCTGGTAATAATGAACTGTTGTTTCTCTGCCGTCCCCGCTTCTCTGCTGTCCCCACTCCTCTGCTTTCTGCCCTGATGCCTGGGCACTGCCGCTGGCCATGTGGCACTCACAGCTCTCCCAGGCAGAGATGTTCAGGGAAACCCCCACACCTTCTCTCCAACCCCTCCTCCTGCAGGGAGCTCCAGCTGTGAGACGCAGCTTCTTTGTTTCTCCCAGTCTACCACCCGATTCCTGGGGTTCTGACCTGTGGTAGCTCCTACGTGCAGATCCCACACTCAGTAGTGCTGGTGTGCAGTTTGCATGAGGGTTTTTTGTTTGTTTTAGATATTCAGCTTATTGTTGTTTCAAGGGGAGAGATCTAGAGACATCTCTCACTCTGCCATATTTCTGACATCACTCCTTATCTTCCACTTTTAAAATAGTAGCTTTGAATCAGGTCTAGACTCTTATCACTAGCTAGATGACGATAACCTAGCCTCCCTAAGCTTTAGTTTGGGGCTCATAATAGTACCTCATGGAGTTATGAAAACTTAATGTAAAGCACTTAGCAGAGATTCCATCACATAGCCTAAACTCAGAATGTTTGCTATTACATAATAATTCAAAGTTACTTAAATAATTGTAGGCATATCTAAACTGAGCTATTCATAGTCCCATTTAATCAGTACTTCTAACTCTGTCCTCTCATTGCCCACCCAGTTCCCCAAGCCAAACACTCAGGGATTATCCTTGGCCTCCCTATCCCTGATAATTTTGAAATCTAGTTTGATTCTACCATTAAGACATTTCTAGAACACACATATTCCTTTCTTGAGTACTATAAGAGAAGTACTTAGAGTAATAGGCCCTTTAGCCAGAATTCCTGAGTTCAAATCCAAGTGCTGCTATTTTGCTTGCTGTGTGACCTTGAACTCATATCATAATTTGTATCTGGGCAGTAGCTTTGTTGCAAGGATATATATAATATAATTTGTTTAGAATGTGCCTGAAACATAGTAAGAGTTGATTATTATGTAGTAAGAGTTGATTATTATTTCAACTCAGTTCAACAGTATTTATTGAGCACCTACTGTATACCAGGCACTCTTCTAGGCACTGGGGATATAGCAGTGAACAAAACACATAAAATGCCCACCTTCATGGAGGTTGTATTCCAGTAGGGGAAGAGAGACTAACATAATGAGTAAATTTTGTAGTGTGTTGGAATATGGTATGCACTAAAGTGAAAAAAAGGCCAGGTGAAGGAGATCAGAAATGGGAGGGGAGGTTGCAGTTACAGTTATTACTATTCCCATTACCAAATTATTTAATAGTTGTATTCATTAATACTTGATTTATAAATGACTCATTTGTATTTGTTATTAACTTGCTAGTATTTGTGTAATAAATATTCTTTATCATTGTTATAATTTTTAATATTGCCTTAATTCATCCCTCATCATCTCTTATTTGTCATCAGAGAGCTGGTTCTAAAACCCAACATAAGCAATAAATAGAGGCCGAGCTCCCTAACCCAGCACTCAGCCCACTTCCCTTCCCCTCAATTTTGGATTCATACCCTGCTGAAGTCACTAGCTCCATCTCTTAGCCCTCCTGCTGGAACTACCTAAGCCACTTGCAGTCCATCCTCACAATACATTATTTCCTGTGATGTGATGAAATGAGGGAGGGACAAGGTCACTCTGTGATCTCATCTGAAATGTGAGAAAAGAATGCTTTGCAACCACAAAAATAACATCAAGATATAGGGTAATGATTGTTCTTCTAGCTTCAGAAACCCAAGGTAAAGAACTATTTTAGTGCTCATAAACATAATAGATTACTTTTTAAAAATAAAGGATCCATTAGATCTCTTTTAGTCATCAAACTGTGTTGAAATATTATTCAGATAATGTTCAGTGTGAAAATTAATCATGACTTTATATGTGTTTCACCTGGCAAAAGATCCAATAGTAGACTTCCTAAGATAATGTTAAGGTCATCGATTTACTTGGTCATTTTCCTACTTTAATTGAAATAAAAGTGGTTCTGGCAGTTTAAAAACATCACTGGCTTAATTGGCTTTACTAAAATAATAATCTGAAGAAAAAAGTCTGGGAGAGAGGCGAAAAGTACCAGGAAAGACAGAAGATTTTCCTACACAGTTCTTCATCCTCCATTAGGTGCCCAGAGTCCTGAGCCATGGTAAACAAACACATTCACCATCAGGGAAGATGCATGGGCTCTAACTGAGTGTAGAGCCATTGAAATCCAGAGGGTTCAGACTCCCTCCTAAGGATGGTCAGGGTCTTGAGACAGCTGGGAAAGGACAAAGAAGAGGGTCCCAGACTCACCTGACTATGTGCACCCTTTCTGCAAATCTGGGGTATCAGTCTTCACTCTCTGACACCTGTCTATACCCACACAGACCTGCATCCCTTTCCCCTTATACCATATCTGGTGGGGATCATCCTTTTCTCTCTCTCTCATACACATTGCCTGGGGATGTAGTAACAGCTCCATTTTACAAATGAAGAAACAGATTTGGATGGCTGAAGCAAGCAAGCAGCAGAACTAGCATCTGAAAGTACATGAGGGTTATTAGCCCAATAAGATACTTCAGACAGGCAGAAAGAAAAAGCCACATATTAACAGACATGGGAAAAACAAAAACTAAAGTTGCTTAAAAGCCAAAATAGTCCTCAAGTCTTTTAAAACTACTTAAGTGCTTGCTATGGTCAGTCCCTGTGCCAGACCTGATTTCATTCATGCTCAGTGAAGGTTATAGAGAGCACCATAGCAAAATAACTGTCTGTGGTCAGCTGAATAATGGCTTCCCACATCTTAATCCCTAGAATCTCATATGGCAAAGAGATTTTAATTAAGGGTCTTGAGATGGAATGATTATCCTGGATTATCCAGGTATACCCAATGTGTTCACAAGGGTTTTTATAAGAAGGAGGCAGAAAATCAGAGTAAGTATTAGGAGATGTGACAATGGAAGCAAGAGATGGGAGCAGTTCAAGGAGTCACAAGCCAAGGAATGCAGGAGGCCTCTGGAAGCTGGAAAGGATAAGGAAATAGATTCTTCCCTTCCTTGGAGCCTCCAGAAGGAAGTAGTCCTGCCAACATTTTGACTTTAGCCCAATAAAACTGATTTTGGATTTTTATCTCCAAAACTGTAAGAGAATAAATTTGTATTGTTTCAAGTCACTGTTCTGGTAATTTGTTAACAGTAGCAATAGAAAACTGATACAATGGCCAAGGCTGAAGGGTATTTGGTTGGACAAATTTTCAGGAAGTTATTTGTTAATGAGTAATTATATTATTATAGCATCATATTACAATATGTTATATCACATATTATATACATTATATTATTTAATAATACTTATAATTATTATATTGTTAAAAGATAATAAAATGATCTGTTGTTTTTGGAATAGCCTTGGGTAGCAAACATGAAAAATACATCTCAAGTCCTATTTATGTGCTCACAAATGATAGTATGAAATTAAATATATTTCATATGTTTTCAAAATGCAAAATAAAACAAGGAAAAACCAAATTTGTACTCTTTTTTCAAAATATATAAGTAAAAGTGGAAATCCTGCCTTTAGGACACATTCTCTTGAAAGAGCATCAGAAATGCTTAAAAGCACACACTATCAGAAATATAAACCTAATTTACAAAATCCTGGCAGCATTTTGAACATTAGCTATTACAAAATTGCAAGACATGTAAGTCTTTAGTATATATAGCCAAAGACAAAGTGAGAATCTTGTAAGCAAGAGATAAGTATCTCATCATGTACAAGCAAGCCTCAATAAGATTTTTTATAACTGATTTCTCAGAAACCATGAAAGTTTAAAAAAAAAAAAGCAGTAGGATGAAAGAAAAAACTCAACCAAGAATTCTATATCTGCCAAGAATATCCTTCAAGACTGAAGGAGAAATTAAGATATTTCTAGATAAACAAAAACCAAGAGATCATTGCTGGCAGACCTGGCCTACGAGAAAAGCAAAAGAAATGCTTCAGGCTAAAATGAAAAAACACTAGACAGTAACTAAAATACAAGTGAAGAAGTAAAGAACATTGGTAAAGATAACTACAAAAGTAAATATTTTTAAAAAGTATTAATGTATTTTGTGTTTGTAACTTTTTTACCTGATTTAAAAGATAACTGTATAAAGCAATAATTACAAATCTATTTGATAGGAGGACTATATAAAGGTATAATTTGTGACAATAGCAGCAATAGTAAGGGGTGGAGCTATATAGCAGCAATAGTAAGGGGTGGAGCTATATAGGAGCAAAGTTTGTGTATGCTACAGAAGTTAATTTGGTATTAATTAGAACTAGATTTTCATAAATTAATATTTTTAATTTAATTTTTAATTAAATATTTTTAGTCTTTGGAGAAATATCTATTCAAATTCTCTGCCTTTTTTTAGTAATATAAAATATGTAAGCTTTATTATATGTTAAGGAAAAGAAAGATAGTATGACTTAATTTTATTAAATCTACAATAAGATATTTTTCAATGAATACAAAAATTATAAATTAACTGATGCTTTTTCAATAAAGATACCATATATATTTACTGACAAGAGAAAACCAAGATGTGTTTAATGAACTTCTGTTCTGTTTTCAAGTCACCTTATTGAACAATACATCATGAAATCAATATTTGTACATCTAGAAAATTTACCAATGGAGCTCTCTTCCACTAGTGTATATATTTTAATTTGTCTCATGTGGGTGTCCCTTCCATTTTGGTGATTGGCTAGAACAGCAGTCTGTATCATGAATGTGCGAGTTGGCTTCTTATGATTATCAGTTAAGGGAACGTGAATCCAGCCATTTGGTTCCACCAATTCAAGTTGAGACGCGATTCAAAGCCATGGCGGGTTGATGCTGAGAGACTGTGTGGTTCCCAGGGAAGGGGCTTGACGGGGCCGCTCTAGCTGCTCTGGGTGCTCGCTGGCCCTGTAATGTCTTGCCGAATTTCTCGAAGGTTGTGGAAATTATTTCCTATTCTGACTGAGATCTTGCTTGGAGTATAACTTTCATCAGATTTGTAATCTGCATAAATACATAATGTCTTCACAGTTGTTTTTCTTCTGAATTGGATGTTCACTAAATAAGGTTGGGAGCCAACTGATTGCCAGTAAGTTTCTAGATTGCCATCTTGTAATTGATCTACTCCAAATTCTGGTTTGCAAGATGAGAGTGACCAAACAGCTTGTGACCCAGTTTCCTGTGCTATTCCAGTCCTTTCCAACTGCTTAGGGTCAGCACCGGGAGGTGTCTTGTTTGGTGAGGTCATTTTAAAAATATTAGCTTGCTGACCTAGCTTGCTTACAGCTCAGGGTTTTAGGATTCCCTGCAGCTCCACGCCACTCCCACTTAGCTTCTTAGGATAGTCTGGCTTTCTCTGCCCATTTTTAATTTCCTTATGTGCCTTTTTACTGTCTTTTATTTTGAGTTGTAAGAGTTCTTTATATATTCTGTATACTAGGCCCTTATCCAACATATGATTTGACATGTTTTCTTCCATTCTGTGGGTTGTCCTTTCACTTTCTGTATAGTGTCCTTTTATGTACAAGTTTATATTTTGATGAAATCCAAAATATATGTTTTGTTGTTGTTTGTGCTTTTGGTGTCATATCTAAGAAACCATAGCCTAATCCAAGATCACAAAGATTTCCTCCTATGTTTTCTTCTAAGTTGCATAGTTTTAGCTCTATTTCGAGTTAATTTTGGTATTGATGTGAGGGAGGATCCAACTTAATTTGTTTGCATGTGGATATTCAATAGTCCTAACACTATTTGTTTAAAAGACTATTCTTTTCACTATTGGATGCTCTTTGCACTGCACTTTATTCTTATCTACACTTTATTTTTGACCACAAGTTTCACAACTCTTCCTGGGTATAAGAAGGAAGGGAAGGAAATAGTGGTGACTAGTAATAAGGTTTGGGAAATTTGCAGAAAAGTTCACCCCTTTAGGCAAAGTTCTGAGTTTACTTTCATATTGGCACTCGTACTTACTTATGAAGTGAAATGCAAGAGAATATAATCTGCTGTTGGCAACACAAATTTTCAACATATTTTCATTGTAGACTTTCAGTGCATTTTTATAAAAGACATTATCAAATGAGACTTTTAAAAAATCAAACTCTACATCATATTTGAATTAATATGAATTGTCCTTACAATGGATGGTTTCATTATTAGAGGAAAAAAGATTGATGAACTAAAGAGATGTATTCAAGTTCAACTGCTAAATCTGGAAGCATAACTAATGGGAATATTGAGAAAAAAAATGTTGATTCAACAGACTTTCTTGAGCTGCATTATGAAAAATAAATGCAAGACTTTACAATAAAGATTATTTAAAATATGTTTTTATCAAATGTATAAAACTCAATGAATATATTTTCTGTAATTATATTCTTATAAAAAAATTAAAGATACATGGACATACAACACAACCACCTATTGATATGTCTGTAGGATGACATGATATGCTGTTTGCATCACTGTTTCAAAACCAAGGCATTCAATCCTTCATTTGATTAGAGCATTGGCTAGTGATGCTTTGAAGCTGAGTTCTTCCCAGGGCATGCTTTCAGCTGAAGAAAGATTTCCATGTAATATCCCTTCCCAGGAGCAGCTTATATTCCATGACTGGTTGATGCTAGAGGTTCCAGCCCCATTATCCCAATTTAGGCAACTCTGTGGGGCCATCCAAGTTCCACAGCTCCACTAGGGATGATAGAGGATCCCATGAAAAGGCCCTCCCAGGACTGAGATCCAGTCTTGTCAGAGAGGGCATGTCTATGGCTCGCTGAAAGAGAAGTCACTGTGGTGCTGTACTAGTGGATCTTGCTGGAAACCTACCCTTTAGAATCTTGCCCTTTGGAAATCCACCTCTAGTGTGCCAAGAAAAACTGTTCAAGGGGAAGTATTCTGAGGCATTCTGCTACAAAACTACCCAAAAAAGATACTGAAGGAAGCTGTTGGCCACTGGGTACAGCTGGCTGCCATGCGTTGCTGAACCCTGGTTCTTGAGAATCCAAGAATGTTGTAGGAGCCTGGTGCTAGAGGAACTGCCCATTCTTCAGGAACTTGGTATTGGGGAAGCCAAACACACTGTAGGAACCTGGTAATCTAAGACACCAGGACCATGACGCAAAAGCTTTTTTCATTCTGCAATGTCTCTTCATCAACCTCTATTGATAAAACTTAACATCATGCCAGCTGGCAAAAGAAAAATATTTTTAAATGGGCTCATATCCATTTTCTTTATCTTTCTACCTAAAAAGATACAGTTATTCTTACAAATGAGGAAGTTTTCACCATTTCCCCCAAATGAAGAGATATGCAGATCCAAGAGTCATTGTATTCATCAGTGGCTGTATTAATTATTCCTCAAATTCAGTCACAGTCTGACTGAATACTGGTAAAAGGCCAAAATGTAAACTAACTTCCGAGAACTCACACATAAAATAAAAATGCACAAAAAAAGAAAAAAAATAGTATATACAAATAAACATATCATAAGCAAATAGAAAATATGTAACGCCACTATAACTCTCAATTTTGTAATGGGCCATAACTGACATCTATGGCTTCCTTTTTTCACAACCCATTCTTTATTTCCACCCTCAGCCATAACCTCAGACCCTCTAGATTCTTCTTTACCTGGTGATCTGTTTGTTTTGATTGCCTCCTACTCACTGCATTGGTAAGGGAGGGCTCCTTCACCCTAAATAATACAAGATGGCTAAAAACAGGACACCCAACACTAAACAGATGAAATCAAACAGAAGTTCATTAATTAAACATACTCTTAGCCCCAGAGGAGGACCTAGAATGCCGTGCAGTGTCCAATGGGGTTACACTTAGGAATAGAGTGAACAAGCAGTAACTATGGGAGGCAGGTTTTATAGTAAACAGAGGGTGAGGTGCCCCCTAGTTCCTATGGGAGGATGTCATTGGCTTGTTTAAATAATTTTACTGGCAGAGAAGTGAAATCCATTAAGTTGAGGATTGGGTGGTTCAGGTGGTCTGGCTGATAGGGAAATTAATTAGGTGGGGAGCCTTCTCCTCTGGATTGGGAGGCATATCTGTTTGAAAGCAGGGAACTCAAAAACATTAGGCCTTTAAGCCTTGTGAAGCCCAAAGATATTAAGTCAACAGCACATGAAATTTTAGGCCTACAATACACAAACTCAACCTTCATTCCCAAAATCCTGACTCTCAATCATGCTGCCTTCTTGGGTTGCTGTAATTTTCCATTAACCATTATTTTTGGGCATTGAAGTACTAAGAAATGACCCCAGAGAATCCCCTGCGATCCACACATAGTCTTCTTACCTCTATTGTGTAGAAGCAGCCCAACTTCATTTTGGCAATTGGGATCCATGACTGCAGCAGATTATCCCCACCCCCAGTGTTTTATTTCTTGCCTGTTGATTCAGTGATATAATGGGCCTAAAATGTCCAGATGGTAATCTTATCTTCCAAATCAATGGCTCCATTGCTATATCCCCAGTAGATGCATTCTCTCTGGGGATAAAGATCTTCAAATTAGCAAAGCTCAAAATTTCCAAGACAGTAAGGAAAAGTTCTGCAAGTGAGTTATTAGGTAGAATAGTGAGAGGAGCCACATCCACTTCCACTCTTTGTTTCCCAGACCCATGCGTTCTGGAAGAGACAGCACCATGTGATGGTTTTGAGTCAAAGCATATACTGAATCCTGTAAAAACAGAGCTCTATTTTTTCAGGTGGTTGACTCCCAGGTGACACTGTAACTGAGTCTTCAGTAAGCTATTCTACCTTTCTTTATTTACTTTATTTTTTTTTACTTTCTTTTTTATTTTTACTTTTATTTTTTTTTAATTAAGTTTATCGGGGTAACATTGGTTAATACGATTACATAATTTTCAGATGTACATTATAATTTAACATCTGTATATTCTATTGTGTGTTTACCATCCAAATTCCAGTTTCCTTCAGCTACCATATATTTGATCCCCTTTACCCACTTCACCCTCCCCTTATCCCCCTATATTTGATCCTCTTTACCCCATCTACTTCTCCCCTCCTCCTCCACCCCCACCCCTCTGCTAACCACTATCCTATAGTCTATGTCCATGAGTCTATGTTTGTTTGTCCTGTTCCTTTGTTGCTTTTAGGTTTATATCCCACAGATAAGGGATATCATGTGATTTTTAACAATTTCTGTCTGGCTTATTTCGCTTAGCATGATTATCTCAAGTTCCATCCACGTTGTCGCAAATGGCTGTATTTCACCTCTTCTCATGGCTGAGTAATATTCCATTGTATATATGTACCACAGCTTCTTTAGCCAATCATCTATTGTAGGACACTTTGGTTGCTTCCATGTCCTGGCCACTGTGAATACTGCTGCTCTG